TTGATTAATTAATTGATTAATTAATTAATTAATTGAAGGCCAATTAAGACCCCCCAATTCCCAGACCCAGCCATTCCCAGCCCCTTTCCCTCCCCCTTTCTCCCTCCGGAACATCCCAAAATCCCCAGCGGGAAAAACGGAACCCAAAGCGTGGGCAAATCCCAAATCCCCCCGAGAATTCCCGAGGAATTCTGGCCATTCCCGCTGCTCCCTTTGGCTCCACAGGCTCAAACCCCAAATCCCTCCAATCCAGTGGAATTCCAGAGGAATTCCGGCCATTCCCGCTGCTCCCTTTGGATTCTGAGGCTCAAATCCCAAACCTCACCGAGAATTCCCGAGGAATTCCATTGGAATTCCAGTCATTCCCTCTATTCCCTTTGGATTCCCAGGCTCAAATCCCAAATCTCCCAGAGAATTCCTGAGGAATTCCGGCCATTCCCGCTTCTCCCTTTGGCTCCACAGGCTCAAATCCCAAATCCCTCCAATCCAGTGGAATTCCAGAGGAATTCCGGCAACTCCCGCTGCTCCCTTTGGCTTTCCCAGGCTCAAATCCCAAATCCCCCTGAGAATTCCATGAGAATTCCAGAGGAATTCCGGCCATTCCCGCTGCTCCCTTTGGCTCCACAGGCTGAAACCCCAAATCCGCCCTGAGAATTCCAGCAGAATTCCAGCAGAATTCCGGCCATTCCCACTTCTCCCTTTGGATTCTGAGGCTCAAATCCCAAACCTCCCTGAGAATTCCCGAGGAATTCCGTGGGAATTCTGCCCATTCCCTGTATTCCTGTTGTCTCTGCAGGCTCAAATCCCAAACCTCCCTGAGAATTCCCGCTGCTCCCTTTGAATTTCCAAGTCTCAAATCCCAAATCTCCTCCATCCTATGGAATTCCCGCTGTTCCCGTTGGCTTTCCAAGGCTCAAATCCCAACTCCCCTGAGAATTCCATCAGAATTCCGTGGGAATTCCGGTCATTCCCCGCTGTCCCTGTGGGCTCAAATCCCAAACCTCCCCTGAGAATTCCATCAAAATTCCATTGGAATTCCGGCCATTCCCGGTATTCCCGCTGTCCCTGCAGGCTCAAATCCCAAACGTCCCCTGAGAATTCCATCAGAATTCCGTGGGAATTCCGCCCATTCCCGGTATTCCCGCTGTCCCTGCAGGCTCAAATCCCAAACCTCCCCTGAGAATTCCATCAGAATTCCATGGGAATTCCGCCCATTCCCACTGTTCCCTTTGGATTCCCAGGTTCAAATCCCAACTCCCCCGAGAATTCCATCAGAATTCCGTGGGAATTCCGGCCATTCCCGGCATTCCCGCTGTCCCCGCAGGCTCAAATCCCAAACCTCCCCCGAGAATTCCATCAGAATTCCGTGGGAATTCCGCCCATTCCCGGTATTCCCGCTGTCCCCGCAGGCTCTGCGCTGTCCCCGGCACCCCCTGGGGAAGCTGCTCCGGGCTCTGGGCTCCGCATTCCAGGCCTCGTATTCCGGGCCCGGCTCCAGCCGGCTCCTGCTGGGAATGGCGCAGGCCGAGGTGCAGCTGTACGCCCGGAAAATCTGGGAATTCGCCCGGTGAGTCTGGGATGGGGGATGGGAAGGGCGGGATTGGGAATTCGGGGAGCTTTGGGGTGGTTTTTGGGGAATTTTGTGGAATTTTTGGGAGTTTTTTGGCAATTTTGGGGGAATTTTGGGGAATTTTTGGGAGTTCTTGGGAGTTTTTGGGAGTTGCTTGGGAGTTTTGGGAATTTTTTGGGAGTTCTTTGGGAATTTTTTGGGAATTTTGGGGAATTTTGGGGAATTTTTGGGAGTTCTTTGGGAATTTTTTGAGAATTTTGGGGAATTTTGGGGAATTTTTGGGAGTTTTTTGGGAATTTTTGGGGAGTTCTTTGGGAATTTTTGGGGAATTTTGGGTAATTTCTGTGATTTTTTTGGGAGTTTTTGGGAGTTCTTTGGGAATTTTTGTGGAATTTTGGGGAATTTTTGGGAGTTTTTGGGGAGTTTTTTGGGAATTTTTGGGAGTTCTTTGGGAATTTTTGGGGAATTTTGGGGAATTTTTGGGAGTTTTTGGGGAGTTTTGGGGAAGTTTTGGGATTTTTGGGGGATTTTTGGGAGTTCTTGGGAGTTCTTGGGAGTTCTTTGGGAGTTTTTGGGAATTTTTGTGGAATATCAAGGATTTTTTGGGAGTTTTGGGGAATTTTTTGGAATTTTTGGGAAGTTCTTGGGAATTCTTAGGAGTTCTTGGGAGTTTTGGGAGTTCTTTGGGAATTTTGGGGAGTTTTGTGGAAGTTCTTGGGGAGTTCTTGGGGAATTTTGGGGAATTCTTGGGAATTCTTGGGAATTTTTTGGGAATTTTTGGGAATTCTCGGGAATTTTTTGGGAGTTTTTGGGGAGTTTTTGGGAATTCTTGAGAATTTTTGGGAATTTTGGGGGAACTCTTGGGAATTTTTGTGAGTTCTCGGGAGTTTTGGGGGAATTTTTGGGAGTTCCGGGGAGTTTTGGGGAGTTCTTTGGGAATTTTGGGGCATTTTTTGGGAATTCTCAGGAGTTCTTCAGAATTCTGTGGAATTTTGTAGAATTCTCTGGAATTCCTCGGATTTCTTTGGAATTCTTGAGACTTCCTGGGAATTCCCGGGAATTCTTGGCAGCGTTGCCTCCTCAAGGCGCCGCTGCCAATCCCAGCACGGATCCGTGCGCTGGGAAATCCGGGATTGATGGAAAAATGGGATCAGGGAATGACTTGGGAATCTCATCCCATTCCAATCCCAATCCCAATAATCCCAATAATCCCAATAATCCAAATAATCCCAATCCCAATCCCGATCCAAATCCCAATAATCCCAATCCAAATAATCCAAATGCAATAATCCAAATAATCCCAATCCCAATCCTGATCCCGATCCCAATCCCAATAATCCAAAAAATCCCAATCCAAATAATCCCAATAATCACAATCCCAATAATCACAATCCTGATCCAAATCCCAATCCCAATAATCTGAATAATCCGAATAATCCAAATCCCAATCCCGATCCAAATAATCCCAATCCAAATAAACCAATCCCAATCATCCAAATAATCCCAATCCAAATAACCCCAATAATCCAAATAATTCCAATCCCAATAATCCTGATCCCAATCCAAATAATCCTGATCCCAATCCAAATAATCCCAATACAAATCCCAATCCCAATCCCAATAATCCAAATAATCCCAATAATCCAAATAATCCCAATCCCAATAATCCCAATCCCAACAATCCCAATTCCAATCCAAATAATCCCAATAATCCCAATTCCAATCCAAACAATCCCAATAATCCAAATAATCCAAATCCCGATCCTGATCTCAATCCCAATAATCCAAATAATCCAAATAATCCAAATAATCCCAATCCAAACAATCCCAATAATCCAAATAATCCAAATCCCGATCCTGATCTCAATCCCAATAATCCAAATAATCCAAATAATCCAAATAATCCAAATAATCCCAATCCAAACAATCCAAATAATCCAAATAATCCAAATCCCGATCCTGATCTCAATCCCAATAATCCAAATAATCCAAATAATCCAAATAATCCAAATAATCCCAATCCAAACAATCCAAATAATCCAAATAATCCAAATCCCGATCCTGATCTCAATCCCAATAATCCCAATAATCCAAATAATCCCAATAATCCCAATAATCCAAATAATCCCAATCCCAACAATCCCAATTCCAATCCAAATAATCCCAATAATCCAAATAATCCAAATCCCGATCCTGATCTCAATCCCAATAATCCCAATAATCCAAATAATCCCAATAATCCAAATAATCCCAATAATCCCAATCCCAACAATCCCAATTCCAATCCAAATAATCCCAATAATCCAAATAATCCAAATCCCGATCCTGATCTCAATCCCAATAATCCCAATAATCCAAATAATCCCAATAATCCAAATAATCCCAATAATCCCAATCCCAACAATCCCAATTCCAATCCAAACAATCCCAATAATCCAAATAATCCAAATCCCGATCCTGATCTCAATCCCAATAATCCAAATAATCCAAATAATCCAAATAATCCAAACAATCCCAATAATCCCAATAATCCCAATCCCAGGTTTCTCCCGGCCCCATCCAACCCCTCCCTGATTTCCAGGATCAGCCCCACATTCCCGGGAATTCCATCCCAACCCCTCCCATCCACCAATTCCTTCCCAACCCATTCCAGACCCTCTGGAATTCCATAGAAATCCTGGAATTCTCCCCGTTCCCACCAGAATTCCCGGGATTTTCCCCCCTCTCCCCCTGGGCCGGCTCCTCCTTTGGGAACAAATCCCGAGGAATTCCCGGGAAGGAGCCGATCCCGGATTTTCCTTTTCCAGAGCTTTTCTCCGGCTGCCCTCGGACGACGCCGATCCCAGGTCGGTGCCACCTCTGGAGATTCCCGCTCATCCCTTGGGAATTCCCAGGGAATTCCGGGAATTCCGGTATTTTCCCCATCCGGCTCCTCCTCCTCCCATTCCAGAGCCGGAAAACTTGGAATAAAAAGCGGGAAAAATTCCGGGAATGCGGCTTTGGGATTTGAGGATGGAGAAGCCGAGGTTTGGTTCCGCTCCGGGATTTTCCAGGGATTTTTCCCGGAATTTTTCCCGCAAATCCCGGAGAGACAAAGAGCTCCAGATGGATTTCCTGGAGCTGCCGGGATTCCATGGGAATGGCTTGGAAAAATGGCTGGGAATTTCCCAGGTGCTCCGGGGTTTTCCTGGGAATTTCCTGGAGAACTCCAGGTTCTCCAGATGTTTCCCATGGAATTTCCTGGAGAACTCCGGGTTCTCCAGATGTTTCCCACGGAATTTCCTGGAATTTTTTCCCAAGGAATTTCCTGGACATTTCCTGGAGCTCCTGATTTTTTCCCATGGAATTTCCCAGGTGCTCCGGGATTTTCCTGGGAATTTCCTGGAGATCTCCAAGTTCTCCAGATGTTTCCCATGGAATTTCCTGGAGATCTCCAAGCTCTCCATGTTTTTCCAGGGGAATTTCCTGGAGATCTCCTGGTGTTCCAGGTTTTTATTCCCATGGAATTTCCTGGAGATCTCCAGGTTCTCCAGATGTTTCCCATGGAATTTCCTGGAGATCTCCAGGTTCTCCAGATGTTTCCCATGGAATTTCCTGGAATTTTTTTCCAGGGAAATTTTCTGGAGATTTCCTGGAGCTCCAGTTTTTCCCATGGAATTTCCTGGAGCTCCAGGTTTTTCCAGGGGAATTTCCTGGAGATCTCCCGGACTCCAGATTTTTCCTGGTGACTCTGGAGATCTCCTGGTGCTCCAGGTTTTTTTTCCACTGAATTTCCTGCAGATCTCCAGGTTCTCCAGGTTTTTCCCTTGGAATTTCCTGGAATTTTTTCCAGGGGGATTTTCTGGAGATCTCCTGGTGCTCCTGATTTTTTTCCTATGGAATTTCCTGGACATCTCCAGGTGCTCCAGGTTTTTCCCATGGAATTTCCCGGTTCTCCAGCTTTTCCCATTAATTTTCCTGGGGCTCTCCTGGTTTTCCAGGATTTTCCCATGGAATTTCCAGGATTCTCCTGGCACTCCAGGTTTTATCCCATGGAATTTCCTGGAGATCTCCAGGTTCTCCAGATGTTTTCTTCTGAATTTCCCAGAGCTCTCCTGATTCTCCAGTTTGTTTTTTTTTTTTCATGGAATTTCCTGGTTCTCCAGGATTTTCCCATGGAATTTCCTGCTTCTCCAGGTTTTATCCCATGGAATTTCTGTGGAATTTCCTGTTTCTCCAGATTTTTCCCACAAAATTTCCTGGATCTCCAGGTTTTCCCATTAATTTTTCCAGAGCTCTCTTGGTTCTCCAGGATTTTCCCATGGAATTTCCTGGAGATCTCCAGGTTCTCCAGATGCTTCCTGGTGAATGTACCAGAGCTCTCCTGATTCTCCAGGATTTTCCCATGGAATTTCC